CCAAGCCTTGACGCACCTAACCCATGACGCTTGTCCTGGCGCGAAGGAAACATGTCCAGAGAAAACAAATCTCCCGTGGGCCCCAAGGATACCCTCTGGGATAAACTCTGTCATCCTGAAAGACGATGATGATGAGGAAGGGGAGGAGGAGGAGGAGGAGGGCGAACAGAAAGGCCAGAAGCCGAAGCCTCTCGGATTCTCTTCGGATTTCCTCCGAGAGGTGGAGTCCCCTCGGGGTGTCTTGGAGGTCTCTTTTCAGTCCCCAGGGGGGCTGGGAGCCCCAAGGACCGGGGAGGAACCCGGGGCGCCCGGAAACGACCGAAAACGTCCGGGACCCGCTCCACTCGGGACCTGCTGCTCTCCTGGCGACCACGACCGCCGCGCGGCACGCGAAGCACGGGGCCCGAAGGGGCCTCTCTGGGACACGCTTCCCTCTGGGACCCGCTTCCCTCAGGACCGAAAACCTCCGGGACCCGCTCCCCCTTTGTCCTCCTCCTCCTCCTCCTCCTCCTCTTCCTCCTCGTTCTCCTCCTCCTCCTCCTCCTCCTCCTCCTCCTCCTCCTCCTCCTCCTCCCCTTTCGTCTCCGCCGCCTCCTCCTCCTCCTCCTCTTCCTCCTCCTCCTCCTCCTCCTCCTGCTCCTCCTCCTCCTCCTCCCCCTCCCCCTCGTCTCCTGCTCCTCCTCTTCCTCCTCGTCCTCTTCATCCTCCTCCAATTCCTCCTCCTCCTCCTCCTCCTCCTCCTCCTCCTCCTCCTCCTCCCCATTCGTCTTCCTCTTCCCCCCTCGTCCTCCATCCTGGAGGAGGTGGGCCCCCCACACCGAAGCCACCCCCCGCTCGCTCCCCTCGGGACCCGCTGCCCTCCCGGCGACCACGACCGCCGCGCGGCAGTCGCGGAAGAAACGCGGGGGGCCCGAAGGGGGGCCTCCTGCTGGCCCCAGGTCGGGCATGTCCCCTCTACATGCGGATTTTGGGCGACAAGTGAAAATTAGCCCCAAACAGTTACTCCCTTCCTATAAAAAAATACAAATGCAATATTCCTCCTGTAGGGGGACGTGCCCGACTTAATGCTGGCCACAACGCGCCTCGGCCACGCCAAGAGGAGTCGCCTGGAGCCTGGATCCAAAGAGAGACGGCGCCGAGAGCAGGACCCCCCCCGAGCTCCCAGGAGGAGGAGGACGAGGAGGAGGAGGGGAGTAGGGAGGGAGAGGAGGAGGGAAGAGGAGGAGGGAGGAGGAAGGAGGAGGAGGAGGAGGAGGAGGAGGAGGAAAGGAGGAGGAGGGTGAGGATGAAGGAGGAGGAGGAGGGAGGAGGTTAGGCTATCCAGACCGCGAGGGCCCGGACACGGACACGCTTGCCACTCGCTGGGGAAACCAAGCGGTGCCGACGGTCCCCGGACTCCTCTCCTGGAGTGCGCTCTGACCAGGACTTCGAGGCGATTCCAGCGGTGGTGGCGAGGGCCCCCTCGGGAGGCCTAAAAAGGTGAAAGCAAGCGAAGGGTAACAACGGTACTATGGGTATCTCCCGGTCATCTGGCCGCTCCAATTCTTTCGATGCTTGGGCCCCGGAGGTCCAGACCACTTCCCCGGGGCCAGCTACGTCCCGAGAAACTTGTCGACGCTCCCGAGGCCCGGCGAGGGCCCCCGCAGGGGAGCGTCGGATCTCTGGGTGCTCCCCTGAGCTCGCGGGCGCCGCGCATGGGCGCGAGCGCCTGGCCGCCGCCCCCCCCCCCCCCCCGCGCCTCTCGTCGCCCTCGCGGCCCGCGGCGGCCTGCTCCAGGCCTCGGCAGAAGGCGCCCGCGCCGCTCCCTCCCCCCGGCTCTCTGCCACAGCGCGGGGGCTAAAGGGAACAGGGAACGAGGGAACGGGGCGGGGGGAGCAAGGGCACAGGGCAGGGCTCCATCGGAAGAGGGCAGGGCTCCATCCCAAAGACCCGCCGCTCCCCCCCCCCACACACACACACACACACACACACACACACACACACACACACACACACACACACACACACACACACACACACACACACACACACACACACACACACACACACACACACACACACACACACACACACACACACACACACACACACACACACACACACACACACACACACACACACACACACACAAAAAAAAATGGGCCGGCGGGGTTTTGGCAAGTCTCGGCCTCCAGGGCCGGCTTACACGCGCCCAGAGAGCCGCCACACACACACACACCAACTGCCCGTGCAGGTGAAGAAGCTCGGGTACGTGGCCTCGTCGAGGGCCGTTAGGTGCGCTTTTACACCTGCCGCGCGCGCGCGAGGAGTGCGGTCGCACCCCTGGCTGCGCAACCTGGGGCATGAACTGGCAGGACGCACCGACCGCCAGCAGCAGGAGCGCAACCGGTTGCAGCAGTTGCGCGGCCAGGTGCGGCGACTTCACATCTTGAAGCGGGCCGTGGGCATCAGGCGTATGACGCGCATCCAGACGACGGGGCTCTCGCCGTCGGTGCTGCACGGGGCTGCTATTAGTGGTGTCGCTGAGCAGGTGTTGGGCCCGGTGCGGACGATGGCTGCAGTCATTGCTGGGGTCAAGCCCGCTGGGAGCATTTGCATGGGCATGCAGCTCCAGGACAACCCCAAGTACGACCCGATGTACTTGGCCACGACGTCAATTGCGTACTTGTATGCGTCGATGCTTTGGGATGGCCACCTCAAGCTCGATGGGCTGACGCAGGCATGGGCATTCGCGCACGGGCGGCTTCATGAGCAGCCCAGTTGGGCCAAGGTGCGAGGCCCGATGGCGGCGCTCTGGATGACGCTGCGCAGGATAGATTGGGCGCTCACGTCGGCCACCTCCGTCACGACGGACGAGGACGAATCCCTCGACCTGCGCACCATGGCGCCACGCGACGTTCGGGACCAGGTCGAGCGCGGGGTCACGCGCTGGTTACTACGACGGGCTCAACAGCACCTGCCTGGTCACAACGGTGAGCGATTTTGGCACCGAGGTATTCGGCAATGTGTGGTTAGCAAGCATGGTGTGCAGTCTCCGTCGCAGCGGGGTGCACCCCAGGCGGTGTGGACTGACGCGATGTGGCCTCGTCAGAAAAAATATGATCGAGGTTTAGTCGGTAGTCCTAGGTGCCTCGCTCCAGGCTGTGGGGCCCCGTCTGAGAAGCTTGGCCACCGTTGGTACGCGTGTCCTGCTCTCCTCGATTCCTCCCTCCACCCCGAGGCGCCCCCTGAGGCGATTGTCAGAGCTCGGGAGGGCATAATTCGGCAGGCCCAGGAGTGTGCTCTCGAGAACCCGTTTGAGTCTGTGGCTTTCGCGTATGGGATCCCGATGGAGCCTCCTGCCGCCGAGGCCCCGAGCCCTTGCCCGGACTTTGTCTATGAGTGGGGGGACCCCGCGGTGCCCTGGAGGGGACGTCTGTTTCTGGACGGCGGCGGGTTTGGTCTCGACGCCCCCGAGGTCAGCCGCTGTTCTTGGGCCGTCGTCCAGCTCCAGTCGGACGGAAAACCATGCAAAGCATTGTTTGGTACCCTCCCTGGTGTGCAGACCATCGGACGTGCGGAGCGGTATGCCGGGCTGGTTGCGCTGTCTCTGTCCAGCCAGGTCTCGGCTGTGGTCTCAGATCACCTCTCGTTTGTCCAAGAGGGGGTTCGCTGGGACCCTCGCGACGCGGGTGCTAAAGGGCGTCACGCGTCGCTCTGGTGGGCCATTCGTGCGACGATACAGAGGCGTGCGCCCGCGCAGGTGCCCGCTTTCAGTTGGATCCCCAGCCACAAGACATGGCAGGAGGCGTTGGACCTCGGCCTTGATATGGTGGATTGGCTTGGGAACGGTTGGGCGGACTTCTTCGCTACAGTGGCTTTAGATTTGGCCAGCCCGGCCAGGAGCTTCACTAGGGCCCTCAAATTCCGTATGGAGGAGGCCTGCCGGACGGCCAGGTTCATCGCGTGGGCTGCTGAGCGCGTGGCTGCTTCGGGCGTGTGGGACCCTGCGGAGCCCGACCATCGACGCCTGCGGCAGGCTTAAGGGCCCACGAGGCTGGCCTTTGTGGCCCACGAGTATGCCGTCCTGCCTGGCGGTGGCGTTAGGTGCATGGCCTGCAACAAGACGGCATTCACTCCAGAGACTCGGCGAGCTCTGGATTCATATCCTTGTGTGGAGTCCCCGCTGGCCAGGCTTCGAGCTAAGTCGGCCCTGGCGGCTGCTCGTTTTAGCCCGGCTGCTCCCCCCCCTTCGGCCGCGGTGGCCCTCGCCCTCGCTGCCGTCACGGCGGTCGCCGCGTCGTCGATCCCTGGGGGCGAGTCGGCGGGGTCGAGAAGGGAGGAGGGGAGAGGGAGCCGGGAGCAGAATGGCCCTCACCCCCCCGCCTCCCTGCCGCCGTCCAGCGATCGGGCGCCGATCCGTGTGCGACGGCGCCTGGGCGGGAGGACGTCGGAGCAGGCCTTTGGGAGGGTTGAGCTAGATACGACGTCCCCCAGGCTAGCGCCAGCTCCCGCCGCCCCTTGCTCGGGTTGTGCTCCTGCTGCTCTCGGCTCCTCCCTTGGCTCCTCGGCTTCCCCCGCTGACCTCAGGCCCCCGCCCTCGGGGTCGCGGAGTGCGGGGGCCGAGACGGGGTCGGCCCGAGAGACGGCGAGAATGGCGGCGGTCGCCGCCCGTCTCCTGGCGGCGGCTTCGGGAGTGGTGGCGGCCGGGGAGGGGGGTCCGAGGAGCGAGGGGCCCCCGCCTGCGTGCCCCCCCCCGCCGCCTCCCGCGGCGCCGCGAACACGGCCTCGGCACCGCCCGGCGGCGCCTGGCCCCGCCAACGCCGCCACCGCCGCGGCGGCCCCGCCGGCTGCCGAGCTCGAGCTCGGCGAGGACGCCCGTGCGACGCCCTCTGCCGACGACGAGGGAGGGGGGGGGCGGCTCGGGCGGCGGAGGAGGCGGTTGGGGAGGAGCTCGTGCATGAAGGAGGCCACGAGGTTCTCTCGAGGCCCCCGTATGTCTTCTGCCGGCGGTGTGGGGCCTACGGCCGAAAGCAGAGCCGGCTCCTGGCCACGAGGTGCCCGGGGCCGCTCCCCGCCCCGTCGGAGCAGTCCCCGGCGGAGAAGGAGAGAGCCAGGCGGCGGAAGCAATTGATGGCCAGTCTCGATCCCAAGACGGGAGCGCCGCTGGCCTGATCCGCGTTTTGGGTTCCAGAGTCTCGCCCTGGGATTGACTCTGTGTAGCTGCTCGCGTTGGGCGACCCCGTCTGCCCAGCGCGAGTGCCATTGGAGATGGCGTTCGTCTCCGTGTTCTGGGGTTCGTGGCCTGCGGAGGTCTCGAACTCAAAGCTGCTCGTGAGTGGTTGGTGCCACTATTGAGCCGAAGGCCCTGGGGGGCATTTTCCTTGTTCAGGCCTCGGCCAGTTGCTCTCGCGGTGGCTGGACGTGCGCCCTTGGCAGTGCGACACACACACACACACACACACACACACACACACACACACACACACACACACACACACACACACACACACACACACACACACACACACACACACGCACGCAAGAAGCCGCGCTCGGACGGCGCCTCGGCACAGACATTCTGTGACCGTGTACATGCGGGCAAACATAGAACAAATATATACGTCATGCAGGGGGGAATGGATGAGATCAATGGGAGCCCTTATACTTGGTGACCTGCTGCTCGTTACCTGCTGTTCGTTCAAAAAAATGACCTAACCGGCGGGGCTTTGGCAAGAATCGGCCTCCGGGGGCCCTCGCCGGGCCTCGGGAGCATCGAAAAACGACTGGGGAGGTAAGCGTGTGGCCTACAATCGGCCTTGAGTGGAGAGGACAGGCGATAGGCGAGAGAAAACGCGACCCTTCCAAGGGCCGCGTTGTCATTGGAATGTAGGAGGCATGAGTCTCGAAACACAGGACACAAGGGTGCCCTTGACTTGGCAAGGTCGACCACTAATCAACCTCGATTGTACAGACGAAGCCAGGACGAGGACAAAATCGGGTGATGATAAATCAATCGGGAATCTCTGAGATCAGGCGGCTCTGGAGGATGTCTCGGGCGCCGCGGCCTTCTCAGAGCGTTCCGGTACGCTCTGAGAGCGTTCCGGAACGCTCTGGAACGGATTTATCCTCGTCCTAGTCCCGACCGATGACCCTAGGCGAGAGTGAACTTTGTATGCACGACTTTGGGGGCCACGGGGAGGCCGAACCAGAGCGCGCAGGCCGTTGATATCGCATCGCATTCAGCCAGCTGGGGACCCCAGTGTGCCCACACAAAAGGCACCCCGGCGAAAGGTCACTCTTACGCATAGCCGAAACAGAGGGAGGAAGTCATATGCTCATGCGCTGGCACACCCAGCGGTCGCAAGAAGTGGGGAGAAACACCAAGTAGGAAGGCGCTGACAATGCATAGGAATTCCGCCCGCTCCCAAGAGATGAGGGAACGGGGAATCCCCTCGACACTTGAAATAGGTAGGCGTCCAAAGTAGACTAAAATGATGGGAGCCCCAAGAATCATTTTTTCAACAGACGATGGGTACACCCTTCTGTTCTTGCTGGACGCCGCTGAGACCGAACAAGAAAGGAAAGAAGACAATCATACATGAACAGCGCACAACTGTGTTTATCATGGCTTGGGTATATTCGGCCGACCCCGTCGGCACTCCAGGACGGCCCCAAAGGGCCTCAGGAGAGCTCAACCACTGACTCCTGGGACATCGTCCAACAACTGCGGCATGGACTCGGTGTCTGGAAGAGCCACCAATTTACATCTAGGACCGCTCGCGGCACCCGGGTCCTCGTCGACCCCCCCCCCGCCCGGTCTGCCCCGATACACACAGATCCGCTGCCTGCACTGAATGGGTGTGTTTGAATGCTCTTCTTCTGTCTGGCGAGGTTCTTTGGTCTTTCTAGGGCCGACCACCCCGCCACCCTTGTCGCACGCGTGAATTTGAAGCCGCCTCCCGTGAATCCCAACAGCCCTCTGAGCGTGAATGGTTTCGAGCGTTTCCTCTTCCATCTTCCCATCCTTCCCCTTCGGGGTTTATTGCTGCTCCTTATGAATAAACACCCCCCTCCCCCACCCGACTGTGGGCCAACCCGGGACATGCCACCCGCCCCCCAAAAATCCCGATCAACAATACAACACAGAATGCACTCTGCCTCCAAATCTCGAGCATTCGCGGGCGCCCCGCGACCACTCTGCATTGGTTTTTGTCAGGGACGGCGGGGGTGCCGGCATGCTGTTCGTTGCGCACAAGCTGCTCGCAAGCCGACCGCCCCTGCCAACAAAACAATACAGAATGCACTTTGCCTCCGAATCCGGGGCATGCGCGAGCATGCGCGGGCGCCCCGCGACCACTCGGCGGGCACCCCGCGACCACTCTCCATTGGCTTTTGAAAGGGATAGCTGGAGTGCCGGCATGTTGCTTGATGCGCGCAGGCCGATCACCCTTGTCAAACAAAATACAGAATCCACCCGGTGACGCTTGTGCAGTGGCGCACCTCGCACGCACTGCGCGCGCCGAGCACGTGGCGCACCTGGCGCGGCTGGAGCACGTGGCGCACTTAGCGCTCGTGGAGCACATGCCGCACTTGCCGCGCCTCGCCCTCTTGGGCCTTCAGGGTGCCTGGTGCACCTGAACCTGTGGCGCACATGCCATGCGTGGCGCTCCTCGGCGATGTGCTGAGACTCGGGTACTACTCCTGTGTTGGGAGGGCGGATGGGAGTGAGCGAGACGGCTTGCGGCCTTGGGGGGCCTCGACCCATTGGAGTGTCCAAAATGGTATCAGCGAAAGGCGAAAATCCGCCGACCCCTTGTGGGTCTCTAGGCGTGTGTTTTTTCCCCCCCCCCCCCCACAGTTAATCCCCCGTTTGTCTTGCTCGAACTGTTGTCACCGACCGTGGATCTGCTTCGCCGGCCTTCTTTAACGCATGATGTCATGCTGCTGTGACTCGAATGCCCGCACATTTCTTGCTGAATCAGACTGGCACGCCCGCACCGAGGTACGATGCCTGACTGCAGATGTTGCCCAAAACTGACAGCGGCCGCTGTTGGGCAGGCGAGCGTGCGCTCTCGAACTGACCACGCGGGCAGGAACTGCTGCTGGTCTTCGCCCCCGCCCACTTCATTTACGTACGCATGTCGGCCGCGCACGGATCAGAATTTAGGCATGCGCTGATTGTGAAGGCCTTGCGGCTGGCGCCGCCGACCCTGACGGGGGACGACGAAAACGACGACAGCGAAACCATTCAAACACTTGTGGAAGCTCTTCAAGGTTACCCTCATGGAGTGGTCTTTGGAGTGCTCTTGGGGTTCTCTTTGGCCTCTTGGGCGCCTCTTGGGCCCCCTCGGGACCTCGCGGGGCGGAGGGCTCGAAATGTCGTTTAGTGCTCCCCTTCTTGAATTGGAAGCCTCCTGGGGCCCTGTTCGGCCAACTTGGGGGCCTCGATCCGTGACCGCCATCCAAACCCTTGCCATCTCTCGGACGTCCATCGCATCCCCCGTGCATGTTTTCGGCTTCGCGCGTGCTTTTTGTTTTCGCCATGTGATCCAGGATGCTCCTTGATGGTCCCCGCGTCCGAGCGAGACCAACCCAGACATCCGGCCGCTCCAATTTTGTCGATGCGCGGGCCCCGGACGTCTGGACCACTTCCCTACGGCCCTACGGCCCCTTGTTCGTCCGCTTTGTGACGGCCCCGATGCCCGGCGAAGGCCCCACGGAGGCCGAAGACGGCTCCAACCCCCCCCGCTCCGATCTCTTCTTGTCGGAGCGCCGGCCCTCTGGATAGACTCCTGCTCTTGGCGGCGAGCGCGGGGGGGAAGTGAGAAGGGGCGGGCCTTCTCAGAAGTTCTCTTGGCCTTGCCCGAAGACGCAGGAAACTTCTGAGAAGGCGCGAGGGCTTCTGTTGAGCAGGGACCAGCCGTCCCAGCCTTCCTACAGGCCTACCCCGAAATCTTCTTAGAACCCAAAATATTCTGACAAGAACAGCAGCGTTCTTAGGACATAAACCCGATGTGTTAAAACAGGACAGTCCGAACCAAACATGTTCTGATAACATTTCGTGCAGACCACAACGGGTTCTTAGAGCATTATTTGGTGGGCCTATAGGCGAGCCAGGACGCTTCGCCACTGCTTGATTCTGAGAAGCCCCGCCGCCTTCTGAGAAGGCCTTCTCCTTCATGGACGCCCGAGTTATCCGGGGTAACTCGGGCCCGGGGTAACTCGGGTTCGGATTCCCGAAAAAACGAACCCGAGTTAGCCCAAACCCGAATTACCCCTGATGATTCGGGGCCCTGGACGCCCGAGTTATCCGGGGTAGCTCGGGCCTGGGGTAACTCGAGTTCGGATTCCCGCAAACGACCCCGAGTTAGCCCTGAACCCTGATGGCTCGGGGCTCTGACCTTCTGCTTTCCATCCCTCTAGAAGAAGAAAAGAACACGTAAACACAAACGTTTGGTACTCCGCACGGATTTTTTGGATCTGTGCTGGACCCCGCCCGCCGGCGCGCGGGGCGTGCCAGGGGCGGCGCCGGCGGCGCCGCCGCGGGGTCAGTGCGGATCCAAGAAATCCTGTTTCTGTTTATGCTGTTTGTTCCTCTTCCCCCCCCCTCGACCGCCGCCGATGCTCGGCTGCTGGGCCGCCGGCGCGACAGCCTGTCGCCGAGCTGCCGCTCGGCGCCGGCGGCCGCTGCCGCCCGCTCCTCGGCGAGCAGGCCCTGCTCGCGGCCGGCCTCGGCGTGCGGGCGGCGGCGGCCGCCGCCGCCCTGTGCCGCCTCCCGCCGCCCCCGCCGCCGCCACCGCCGCCTCTTCGCTCCTCCTCGCTCCTCCTCCTCACTCCTCCTCCGCCTCCGCCTCCTCCTCCTCCTCCATCTCCTGTTCCTGTTCGCTCCTCTATTCCTGTTCCATATACAAAATTTCCCCCTGCCGCACCCCGAGGCCAGTTTCTAGGGCGGGCCGGGCGTTCCGCCTGAGACTTCCTCACAACTTATGAATCTGAAAAATGAAAATTGACAACTCTTTCACAGATGGAGGGCGGGTCGTTTTGAAACTGTGGCTCTCGCCTTTGCGCGGCGCACAATCGTTTTCAAACATTGCCAGAGTTTCACGGGTTGAAGGCGAGCCGTTTTCAAAATATGGCTCTCGCCTTAGCGCCGCGCAAATTCATTCTAAACATTGTAAGAGCTTCACGGAGTGAGGGCGGGTGGTTTTCAAAATGTGGCTCTCGCCTTAGCGCAACGCACACTCATTTTCAACATTTGCAAGAGCTTCGCGGATTGAGGGTGGTTCGCTTTCAAAATGTGGCTCTCGCATTAGCGCCGCGCGCATTTGTTATGAAAAATTGCAAGAGTTTCACGGGTTGAGGGCGGTTCCTTTTCAAAATGTGGGTCTCGCCTCAGGGCCGCGCGCAATCGTTTACAAACATTCCGGAGGTTTCACGAATTCCCATCATCAACGTACCAGAAATGGCGTTTGGGAAGAATTCAGGGCTATGCGGGCGCAACAATTACGTTGATTCTCTGTGTGGAATCCTAGGAATGGCGTTCTGATACGATTCGGGACCGTCAAGACGCAACAGCCAAGTTGATCCGTGGCGTTGGAATCCCGAGATCAACGCCTTGGAGTGCTTCAGGGTCTTCAAACGGGTGTCTTCCAACGAGGCATTTCCATCAATGGAAATGAACCGTTGTAGCGGCCTGTGACGAGGGAGCTCGGAAGGAGGGTTTACTCCAACATCGTTGATCACTCTTGGGTTTACACCGGGCCTCCTCCTCGCTCCTCCTCCTCATTATCCTCCTCATCCTCCTCCTTCTCCTCCTCCTCCTACCCCTCCTCCTCCTCCTCCTCCTCCTCCTCCTCCTCCTCCTCCTCCTCCTCCTCCATTCCTTTCCATTACAAATAACTTCTCCCTGTCGCACCACGAAACCAGTCTTTAGGGCGGGCCGGGCGTTTCGCCCGAAAATTCCTCACCACTTGTGACTCTGAAAGTTCAAAAGCGACAGCGGTTTCACATATGGAGGGCGGGTCGTTTTCAGAATGTGGCTCTCGCCTTAGTGCGGCGCACAATCGATTAAAAGTATTTGCCAAGGTTTCACGGATTGAGGGCGGGTCGTTTTCAAAATGTGGTGTTCGCCTTAGCGCCGCACACATTCGTTTTCAACAATTGCAAGAACTTCACGGATTCAGGGCAGGTCGTTGTCAAAATGTGGCTCTCGCCTTACCTCCGCGCGCATTTGTTTTCAAACAACTGCAAGGGTTTCACAGATTGAAGGACGGTCGTTTTCAACATGTGGCTTTCGCCTAAGCGCCGCGCACATTCGTTCTAAACGTTTGCAAGACTTTCACGGATTGAGGGCGGGTGGTTTTCAAAATATGGCTCTCGCCTTAGCGCCACGCACAATCAATTAAACAATTTGCAAGGGCTCCACGGATTCACATGGTCAACGTACCAGAAACTGTGTTCTGGGAAGGATGGAAGATGATGCGGGTGCAGCAGTCATATTGATCCCCGGTGCTAAAATCCCAAAAACGGCGTTCTGGCACTATTCTGGATTGCCAAGACGCAGCAGTCAGGTTGATCCGTGGCATTAAAATCCCGAAGACAATGCTTCGGCATGCTTCAGGATCTTCAAGCCGTCGTCTTCCAACGAGGCAGTTCCCTCAATGGAAATGAACCGTTGTAGGGGCCTATAAAGAGGGAGCCTGGAGGGAGGGTGTACTTCAACATCGTTGATGACTCTCGGGTTTACACTGGTCCTCCTCCTCGCTCCTCCTCCTCCTCCTCCTCCTCCTCGCTCCTCCTCGCTCCTCCTCGCTCCTCCTCGCTCCTCCTCCTCCTCCTCCTCCTCCTCCTCCTCCTCCTCCTCCTCCTCGCTCCTCCTCCTCCTCCTCCTCCTCCTCCTCCTCGTGCCGCCTCCCGCCAGCGCCGCCGCCTTGAGCCGCCGCATGCTGCCTCCCGCCGCCGCGACGCGGCCTGCGGCCGGCTCGCGCAACGGTGCCGCGGGCGTCGGCCTCTGACGCCACGTGGATCGTTCTGCTCGCCATCGCTCGGGCGTCCTTCCCCTCCTCCTCCTCCTCCTCCTCCTCCTCCTCCTCCTCCTCGCTCCTCCTCCTCCTCCTCCCCCTCGTCCGATTCCTCCTGCTTCTCCTCGCTCCTCCTCCTCCTTCTTTTCCCCCTCCTCCTCGCCCTCGCCTCCTCCTCTCCTCCTCCTCCTCCTCCGCCTCCTCCTCCTCGCTCCTCCTCGCTCCTCCTCCTCCTCCTCCTCCTCCTCCTCCTCCTCCTCTCCTCCTCCTCCTCCTCCTCCTCCTCCTCCTCTCGCTCCTACTCCTCCTCCTCGCTCCTCCTCCTTGCTCCTCCTTGCTCCTCCTCCTCCTCCTCCTCTCCTCCTCGCTCCTCCTCCTTGCTCCTCCTCCTCCTCCCCCTCCTCCTCATCCTCGCTCCTCCTCCTCGCTCCTCCTCCTCCTCGCTCCTCCTCGCTCCTCCTCGCTCCTCCTCCTCCTCCTCCTCCCTCCTCCGCCTCCTCCTCCTCCTCCTCCTCCTCCTCCCTCCTCCTCCTCCTCTCCTCCTCCTCCTACCCCCTCCTCCCCTCCTCCTCCTCCTCCTCCTCCTCCTCCTCCTCCTCCTCCTCCTCCTCCTCCTCCTCGGCCGGCGCCACCCAACACTGGCAGCTGGGCGGCGGCGCACAGCACGCGTTGTCGGTCTCGTGCTTGCACTTTTTTTCCGCAGGAGGACCTCAAATGCTCCTCGATGGTCCCCGCCGAGGACAAACGCACGCGTCCGAGCGATCCCAAGCGGCTGGTTCGCGTCACGATGTCGCGGGCGTCGCTTTCTGACGCCGCGGCCGCGTGGATCGTTGAACCTTGAACGATCGCGCCCCTCTGATGGCGCAGGTCAGTCGACGTCGGCCGATTCTGGGCCAACGGCGGCGTTCAAGCTTGAACGCCGGCGCCGGGATCACGGCCGCGTCAACGCGGCGCAGACCAACCGCACCTGGAGCGTCCATCCTCCCCATATCTCCGACGATCTGATTGTGTATTATCCTTTCTCCAGGAAGGCTCGCGTATGGGAGTCCTAGTTAAATCTATGGAGAACTGGTTCACAAGACCCCCCTTCTACTTCATTGTGAGCGTCGAACTGCCCACATGTTTTCCTCTGCTATCCGCATGATTTCATCTGCTGCTATCTGCATGGGACCCTCCTATCTGCATGACTTCCTCCTATCCGCACGGCTTCCTGTGCTGCTTCCTCCTATCCACATGGCTTCCTCTAATGCTTCTTCCTATCCGCATGGCTTCCTCCTATCCGCATGGCTTCCTATCCTACCCTAAGAATCGTCCACCAGCCGTCAAACTCAGAAATCGAGTAGAGTAGAGTAGAGTAGAGTAGAGTCGTTAAGTAGAGTAAAGCAGAGAAGAGTCGCGTAGATAGAGTAGAGTTAGAGTGGGGTAGGTCAGGATAGGGTGCCCACTGCAGCCCAGCCCACTCCAGCCCAGGACAGTACACCACAGTCCAGTCCAGTCCACCAGTCCAGTCCAGTCCACCCCAGTCCACTCCAGTTCAGTCCATTCACGGCCCAAGTCCAACTCAGGCCAGACCAGTCTAGTCTATCCAGTCCAGGCCAGTCCTGCCCCTTGCAGTCCAGTCCAGTCTACTCCAGTCCAATCTACCTCAATCCACTCCAGCCTTCTGATCTATGTGGAACCTGCGCTGGCTGATATTTCAGCCTGCCGATTTCTCTAGTTTTCCTCATAAGGGATCCAGGGCGAACAACACTCCCAGGGAAGCGGTGTGCTGTGGGACCCCCTTGTTCCGCCGATTGAAAAAACATATCGGCAAATGCCAGGGTCTTGACAGAAGGTGTCCACACGCCGGTTACATGACGTATCCAAGGCCATCCTGGGCCCTGAAGCAGGGTACGCGTCGACATCCATTGCCCACTGGGGTCCTGGGGCATCGTTTCCCAACGTCGGCCCGTGAACGAAGGAGACATCGGCTGCTGGATAGGGTCGCCTCTCTCCCTTTCCCTTACCTGGGGTCTCCCGAGGCCCCTGACTGCTCGAGGGAAAGATCCTAGCCGTCCAACAGTAACAGGGACAGGCTGACCCAGGTCAGCGTGAGCACTGGCCACAACGTAACTCTCATACCCGCGTCAGCGGAGGAAGGGGACGGGGGACGTCGGCTTTGCGTCGCTCCAAAAACTGGGTCAGCCAGCGGAGATCAGGGGGGGTTGGCTGTCCCCCGTGATATGGTCGTTAATAACGTCATTATGCGGCTGGCTCAAGGTGCGTTCCAGGGACTCCGAAG